AACACTTAAATATTGAAAAGTATATACATAGTATGTTAGAGGACTTATAGCTTATTTAAATTTTTGATGAGTGAATTTCAAAATTCAATAGCAAATTGATTATTTTTTAAATCCGAAAAAAACTTATGAATAACTAGAACATTTTTAAAATTGAAGACTTATTGAAACGATAGATAACATACATTTAGAATACTATATGATCAAAGTTTTTTTCATTTATGTATTTCATCTACTACTTTATTTTGCTTAAGTGACTGCCCAAAGATGAGAATGTAAATTTAGACAAGTGAATAAAATGTCAATCCAAAATTAGCACACAAATATTTGGCGAGTGAAAATGCAAATGTTGGGCATTATTCGCACGTAGTGCGTACCATGCTAGTTATTACTATAAGTTTTTACCCAAAGTTGTAAGTAATTTGTGTACTTACTGTAATTGTAGTCATTTAATGTCTCTGTTTGTTTTATGAAAGACTTACTATTGACTATTTATGGACTTCATTCTATAATTATATTACAGTTTTACAGTAAACTCAACATGAAATAAAAAGTAACAATGAACTCTCATTTCATAATAACAAAGGATAATATGTGATCATATTTCAATTAAAAATGTAATTTATACGTAGTCACAATATTTAATGACCAAAAGAAGAAAGGTTTACATCATAGGCCACCTAATACTTAATGTGTATTATAGACCATCTCAGTTCACCCGCTTCCTTCATGATGCACATCAGTGGCACTGCGGCCGTTATGTTTCACATGACTACTTAATACTTGAATTGGTTGCTTAACATCTTTTCGCCTTTTAACCAAATCATTTAATCTTTGTACTCCACTTAGTGTTGCATCCTCATCATTTTTTCCTTCATACCATCTTCTTTATCAATCCGATATTGTCTTTCCTCTAGTTAATCCATGACGTCTTACTATAAAATTTGTCATATAGATCAACCTTCCTCTGCAGCTTCTTCCGATGAAGAAGAAAGAATTGATCAACAGATCCTATTACATTTTTCAAGAAGAGGATAAGAAAAAGACAACCCCCTGTAGTTTCAATTTTGAAGCTAAACTTTTGGTCAAGAATCTCAATCGTCTTCAGAATCTGATACCGATTCCCAGAAAAGACAGCCCTCTCTAGAATCTGATTTTCGTGATTTTCTGTACACAATTTTCACATTGTGACTCTTAATTTTTCACCCAAAAGCTCACATATGACTTTAAAGTTCAAATATTAGGAAACATTACTCTAGATTGCTTTAATTTATGTAATCGCTAATAATTTTGTAGAGGTGTATTGGATGGTTAGATTAATTTTGATTGGTTGCTCTAATTTATATCAAGTTTTAAATTTAAATTACGAGGTTTCTAAAACAGTAACTACAAGAATACCTAAATCATAGTATTAGAAGTACATTTTTAGAAATAATTTCAAATCTATGATCAAAATAAAAGTTGTGGACAAAAATGTGACACTAGTAACTTTAGTGTTTATAAAACTTACCCATGGTAACTAATAGTCACATTTATGTCCATATATATTTTATTAGTAATATTTTAGGAAAAAACTTTCCATTTTCATTATGTTACTTGTATACATTATTGCTCTTAAATTTAGATGTTGAATGTTGGTGGGGTATGATTATTGAAATTTTGTAAGTTAAGTGTTTTTGTGATTCATATTTAGATTTTACTATTGAGACAAGACTTAATCTTTTTATGTTAATGTGGTAAGATATTCATAATTTTGAATCTATGCATATATAATTTGTGAATATTAGGTTCAACGATTGTAATTTTTTATGATGTTTTAAAAAACTTTATCTATGGTGTTATTTAATTTTGATTTTTTTAATTTAGGTGGTCAATTATAAGTAGTTAATCATCATTTTAGGATTTATACTAATTTCGAAGGAAAAAAATATCTTTTAATAAAACGGTTACCCACGAGGAAAACCGTTACCTGCGGATAAAAAAATACCCGACGGGTAACGGGGCGATTTCGGAGAAAAATATTATCAAACGGGACGGGTATGGGTAATGGTATATCCGATCCCGAACCGCCCCGTTGCCATCCTTACTTATATGGGTAATTTTCCCTTACATGGTCTCATACTCTCCGTCCAAAAGGTTGAATCCCCAACCCCAAGGCCCCCCCACCCCCACCCCGACTCGACAGGATGGTGGGGGAGTAAATCACGGTGACTCAGTCGGCAAAGCGGCAGTAGGCCTTTACCCGTGCGCACCAGAGGGCTAGCCTTATTTCAGGTTCCGAAAACCCCCTTTTGGCCGCTGCGGGATTCGAACCTTGGTCTACGTCCAATTTTTTCCACCGCTCGACCAACTGAGCTACCCGTGCGGGTTGGTCTCATACTCTCATCTACGTATGTAGGAGTGAAATTAGTCACTTTGGATCAAAGTTAGGTATGGACCCGGGCCGGTCCGGTTCCGGGCGGGGCCCGGGTGGGATTTTTTTGTAGAATCGTGGGCCCAGAACCTTCCCGGGGTGATACCGGGTCCGGTCTGGGTCGGGCCTACCCCGACCGGGTTGTGGGCCGGTTCGGGCCGGGCCGGGCCCGGGCTATTTATTTTTTTTAATTCAGATTAGTTGGACATAAAAATTTAAACTGTATTAATTTGAAATATGTAGTACAATTGGTTTTTTTTTTGTAATTTTTGCTTTTCCAAAACATATTGCCTTATAACTTCTTTTTTAATTGTTTTGCGACTATAGTTTCGAAATTGGGGATTTAAAGAACCTTGAGTATATTCTTTTAAAGCAAGACTTTCAGAAAAAATAAAAGGCAAATTTTCTTCAACAATGACATGAGACATATCAGTCAAATGTCTTTGATCATCATAGGAGAAATTACCAAAGGGTTGGCCAGTTGCAAACCTTGAAATTCGTGTTTGCCTTCCCTGGCCTTTGTCCGATTTCACATATTCCGCCAGGTGCTTGGCCTTAAGATGCCTTGTGGCGCTCCCGTACCCCTCCATAAATTCCCAAGTTATACTTTTTGTTGCAATGCTTGCAAGTGGCGTACCATATCTCGGTTTCGAGGTCTTTAACTTTTGTAAAATTTGCCTTAAAGACAGATTTAGATTTCCCACCGGTTTGGGAAGAAGTAGCCACTTTCGCTTCCTCTTCCTCATCATCCGGTGTGCCATGAACCTCGTCCTCGACCGTTCGCGAATCCCTCTCCTCCGCATCATCATCCTCAAGCTCTTCTTCGTCAATGGTTTGCGGGATGTCTTATTGATGGAAAAAACCTCCTTGATTTTGTTGTAATAGTTGTTCTAGTTGCTCATGGGACATCACATCCTCATATCTTTGGTTGTAATCCGCATCAAAATCATCTCGGGTTTGAGATGAAGACCCCGGCCCTCCCTTACCTTTGCGTGACCTTGGATGATTCCTCGTAATCTCCTTTGTTCGGTTGCGGCGGAGGTTACCCATATCTACAGAAGCTCTACCACGCTCCATATTAAAAATATAACAAATACTAAATTCAAATAACAATTAAGCAATTAATTTTGAATTAACTAGTTTACCAATTAACTCAAATTCGAACTATTTGTTTTACAATCTAACAACTTTATTAACTAGTTTTTATAGGAGATTAATAAATGTAACAATTAACTACTATGATAAGAGATTAATAAATGAACCAATCTAACAATTAACTAGTTTTTATAGGAGATTAATAAATGTAACAATTAACTAGTTTAAGAATTAAACAATCAATTTCGAATTAACAAGTTTACCAATTAACTAGTTTTTATAGGAGATTAATAAATGTAACAATTAACTACTATGATAAGAGATTAATAAATGTAACAAACTAACAATTAACTAGTTTTTATAGGAGATTAATAAATGTAACAATTAACTAGTTTAAGAATTAAACAATTAATTTCGAATTAACTAGTTTACCAATTAACTAGTTTTTATAGGAGATTAATAAATGTAACAATTAACTACTATGATAAGATATTAATAAATGTAACAAACTAACAATTAACTAGTTTTTATAGGAGATTAATAAATGTAACAATTAACTAGTTTAAGAATTAAACAATTAGTTTCAAATTAACTAGTTTACCAATTAACTAGTTTTTATAGGAGATTAATAAATGTAACAATTAACTACTATGATAAGAGATTAATAAATGTAACAAACTAACAATTAACTAGTTTTTATAGGAGATTAATAAATGTAACAATTAGATAATATGTGTATAAGTAGATATTTATAAGTAGATAATAAGTAGATTAACTAGTAATATATAATATTATGTTTATAGTATATATAATATAAGTATATTACTATAATTACTATAAGATTAGTAATACACTTATATATAATACTTTAATATATATAAGTATATATTAAGTATATCTAAAATGTAAATATAAGTAAATAAATTAGAGATGATTATATATGTAAATATAATATAATATATGTAGTTATAAATTTGAGAAGATGAAGATGGAGAAGATTAGTAGAGAATAGAGATTAGAGAGTAGGAATATTTAGAGAAGATGTGTAGTAAATTGTATAGAAAAAATGGAGTATTTATAGTTTTTTGTACCTCCCACCCCCCACCCCCACCCCACCCCCTAACCCACCCCGGGACCCCAGGAAGGCTCCCAACGGCTATATAGCCGTTTGGGTTCAATCACAACGGCTCTAAGGCCTGTTTGGATAGCCAAAAGATTTTTTTTTTAAAAAAACTAGTCGTTGGCCCGAACCGGCCCCGAACCGGCCCCGAACCGGCCGGACCGAGCCTCCAATTTTAAGAACCGTGCCCGAACCGCTCCCCTCCCCCGGGCCGGGTCAAAGCCCGAACCGCCCTATCCTTAACCGGGCCGGTCCGATCCCGCACAGTGGCGGGCCGGTTCAGGGACGGCCCGACCCGGTTTGATCCATCCCTAATCAAAGTAAAATTAGTCCTTTTTTGGAAACACCAAAATAGTCCTATTAAAATATCCTTACCGCAGAAGTATATACTTCGTATAATACATGTTTCCTTTTATTCGGTAGATTAGATACACCTTGTACGTACGACAAACATTAGCCGAGTTCCGATTCGGAGTTAGGTTCGGGAAAGAGTGTTTTTCCATTGTCTAGTCTCTCTGCTCTTTTCGAATTAGGATTTTCGCAGATCTCCGAATCCTCGTTTCTGCGTCAACCATGGGTGTCTGGGAAGCTTTTCTGAATTGGCTAAGAAGGTAATGCTCAAGATATCCCTAATTTTGATTAGGGAATGCTATTATATTCCAATTTTGCTTCGAATTTGTGAACTATTATCTTTTTCGGGAGTCTTTGTGCATAGTTTTATTTGTGTTCTAAAATTTGGTTTTAATTTCAAAAGTTCTTGTCTTGTTGTCTCCTGGTGGTAGGATTCTCTGTTTTCTGTTTTTATTTACTCCGTATATTTTTATGTTTGAAAACATATTCTGAGGTTTTGAATTTTTTAAAAAGGTTTGCCTTGTCCTCTATGCTTTCAAATCCACCTTAACAAATTTTCATCAGCTGATTTCGTTATATGCTCTTACTTGTTAGGATATCAATTTGATGGGTACAGAATTGACATTTGTTAGCTGTGTTTAGGGCTCTTTGGCAAGCTATGACTATTTTTTGAAATCTTATTGTGAAAACAATGTAACAAGCATTGTTATTAAGCGACTACTTTTTTAATTTATGATCTTTTGTCAGTCTGGCCACCAAGAATGCTATGATTAATAACTGTGATTATGTTTCCTTCCAAAGTTTTTATGAAAGCTTCATCGCCCTTCTTTGGGTTCCATCTATGAAATTGAAACTAACTTGTGAAAATGTGCAATTTATGTGTTCCCTAGTCCTCTTTTAGGCATTTTAGCTCACAAAAACTCATTGTAAGCCAGTCTCTATTAGAACAAAAGAGTACTACAAATTCTAAGCATTCAGGTACCTACAGACCACCATATTAGGGGAAAAAAGAGTTTTTTTAGTGTTCTTTTTTATTTTCCTGCAAAGGTTACAGTTGGAAATTAAGAGCAATGCTTTTTTTGGTTTTCGGAATATAATACTGTGTCTTTGTTCTAGATTTTTGGTTGAAAAAGAACTCTAGAGAATGTGCAGCCTCCTTGATAAGTGATCATAGTATTGATTGTATCAATTCCTCTGATGCTTTTATAAGACATAATGGATTTTTAATAAGAAGTTGTTGTCTATATTCCCCTCTGATCAGTCTGATGTCTTTATAAAACTGGGCGTGCTTACAAATTCCAACTGGTATTTCAGCCTCTTTTTCAAGCAGGAAATGGAGCTTTCTTTAATAGGGCTTCAAAATGCTGGAAAAACTTCTCTTGTAAATGTTATTGCTGTAAGTATTGGCTCTCCTTTTTCTTTCTATTTACATCCATGTATATTAGCCATATGTTTTTGTTAATTCTAATGCTCTTACTAATTGTTCATCACTTTGTTTTGTTTCTTAGACTGGTGGTTATAGTGAAGACATGATACCAACGGTGAGTTCATCTTATAGGATTCTTTTTCATAGAAGCGACAGTTCTCCCACCTTTTTAATATTCATTGATTAACTTTGATAATGAAACAAGATAATTGTTTCCATCAGGTGGGATTTAATATGCGGAAGGTTACTAAGGGCAATGTTACCATAAAGTTGTGGGACCTTGGAGGTCAACCACGATTCCGTAGTATGTGGGAGAGATACTGTCGTGCAGTATCTGCTATAGTGTACGTACACTTATCCAGCTGAATTTTTCTATTGCAGTTACAGTTATAACACTCCCTTTGTCAACTAAGTTTGTCTCATACTATATTTAGTCATATTTGATGGTTCAAATTCATTTCAACTTATCTACACATTTAAAATATATTATCAACCAAATAATTTCACTTTTCATAATAATCGTACCAATTTCTCATTTGCAATCTTAGTGGGACTGATGTAGTATTAAATATTAAAAAACACATATCTCCAAATTGGTGAACGTAGGCATCAAACAACGTATTTCAGTGTAATAAGTCCCTCGAACAGGCTGTCGTTTGTGAGTTTTATAATTCGAGACAATTTAACCAAAATCTTTGCTGCAGATATGTTGTGGATGCTGCTGATCCAGACAACCTCAGCGTTTCAAAAAGTGAGCTCCATGATCTTCTGAGCAAGCCTTCTTTAAGCGGAATCCCATTGCTTGTTTTGGGAAACAAGATTGACAAACAGGGTGCCCTGTCCAAGCAAGCTTTGACTGATCAGATGTAAGTGTGTGGTGAACATCTCATTGAATAACTATTTTTGGGTAAACAACCTCCCTCGAGGGTTTGTTCACATTACCGAATGATTCCTGAGGTATTTAAATTTGTGAACACACTCCTTGACAAGTCAAATATTCTATAATTGACACCTGACAGAAGATAATAGAATATTATCAGGAATGAAGTGTCTAAATTACTATTCAACTTCACCCCAATTTTTATTCTATAATTGACACTTGACAGAAGATAATAGAATATTATCAGGAATGAAGTGTCTAAATTACTATTCAACTTCACCCCAATATTTTCCTGAAAAAGCGCAACTGCGTAAGCATTTTAGTCGATGATAAGAATAAAAAAAGATTATGTTAGAAACCCTTCATTCATTATATTAGTCGTATTTTAGTGTGTTGTCTTTCACTAAAATATATGACTGTTCAAATGGCCTTGTGAAAGAAAGTACTCCACTTTTGGTCCCATAACTCGTAGGTCATTCATTCTTTTGGTCTTCAACATTCATTTTCCACTTTTGGTCCCATGACTAGATTTTTTGTCACTCGTGGGCCTTTCCACCACTTATATGGTCAATTTTAGAACTACTCCCGGTTGATTTCCACCAAAAGTGTATTAGATGAAAATTATGGATAGAAAGTGAGAATGGCATAAAGCTCCTGGACCAGGATTTTTTCTATTTTCAACTGATATGAACTTCAATTACCAATTCGCAATTTGACCAAATTGCAGGGGAGTTAAATATGATTAACCTAGCCATTTTTGTCTTAAACTGGCGGTTTTGTTTCTGTATTAAGCTTAAGGTTTCACCTGGGGTTAAAGTCATCTCTTTTTTATTCTCTGCAGGGATTTGATGTCGATAACTGACAGAGAGGTTTGCAGCTATATGATCTCTTGCAAGAACTCTACCAATATCGACTCTGTTATCGATTGGCTTGTTAAGCATTCTAAGTCTAAGAGCTGAATATGAGTTTTGGAGTACCTCTAATTGTGTGTGTTGCATTTGAGAAGGACGACGCTGGTTGTACTGTGCCTGGTTTTCATAACTACTATGTGGTGGCGATGTATATTACTCCGTATATGATTATTTTGTCAATTGAGAGATTTAACTTTTTTTCTGTTTATTGTGATTGTGTATTGCTTGGCTGTTCGAACAATTGTTTTTATTTTATTTTATATATGAAATGATGTTTCTTGACCTTGGGCTATGAAATATGAGTAATGAAATGCATTATGTAATTATGTAAACTTAATCGTCTGGGAAGTGGAAACTGAATGTGTGTCTATGCTAAAATTTACGGGACGAGTTAGAAAATGTTGGGGACCATGGAGACATGGAGTAATCAATTTACCAATTCCTTTCAGGAGGAGAAAAATGCATCGAAAAAAACAAGAAAAAGAAAAACTGAAGCGGAAAAACAGAACAATTTGGACTACTTTCCGAAATAGAAAATTGTGCATTTGTGAATTTTGTGCACTTGTTGAGTTGTAGTTATTACTTGAGCTATAAATATTGTTTCAATATGGTTCACATACAGGCATACAGCCATTTCAAACTAAGATATGAGAACAGGGCATTATACGTACAAAAGTGCTATAGGTACCTCAACTTTACCCCACTTTGTACCCCATATAAAAGTCTTCCTATTTTTACAATTTTTTACACTTTCCACAAACATCTCTCATCCCATGCCCTCTATTTCTTTCTCTTATTGGTCCCTTTTTATTCTCTCACCCTCATTCCCCATTATTTTCTCCTCTTTTCATTTTAAGAGTTCTCATCTCCATTTTTGAAGCTTTCAAGACCTCCCATTTAGTTGTCTCTAAGGTAACCATCCCTTCTCAAATCATGAGGTACGTACTCTATTTCCGATTTTTCTTCATGTGCGTTTTTTATTTTGTTTTTTTTTCTTTTTTCGATTTTAGGTATATTATGTATGATATAAAAGTGAATAATTGATTAGTTTTGAGGTGTTAATTACTTAAAGTTTTAGTGTAATTTCTCTAGTTCATTTTATGCCCATAACATGTTTGTAGAAATTACTCAATGAATTTTTTGTTGAAATTCAAGACTTTTTTTTCCATTTTTTGCACCTCAGTGTTTAACGAGTATTTTTATGGATTTCCAATTTAATATGATGTCTTGGAGAAGAGTATGTTGTTTTTTTGTCATTTGTTTGTATTTTGTTTGGCGGACAGACAATTTAGAATTGCAGTGTCTGTCTAGCCTAAAGTCTTACCAAATTTATATCAATGTTATATGTTGGTGTTACATATGGAGCCATGTAAAATAACTGTAGAAATTGTTGTATGATAAGTTAGAACATGTTCCTCATTTTTATGATATTTTACCACAATACAACAATACGACGCTTATTGTTTGCTTAAATCTCCGGTTGCTTTTGAAGTAGTAGAGATTTCAAGGGAAGAAGACGATGAAGGTGTGGACGTTTAAGTTTTGGAAAAGAGTATGTTTTTTTTTGTCATTTGTTTTTATTTTGTTTGGCGGACAGACAATTTAGAATTGCAATGTCTGTCTAGCCTAAACTGAACACGGTTTTGTCTTAAAGTCTGGGCCAATTAACTACTCTCTGTCTTACAGTCTGACAAATTTTGTCTGGGTCAGACATTAGTAGTCTGGGCCAATTAACTACTCTCTGTCTTACAGCCAGACAATTTTGTCTGGGCCAGACATTAGTAGTCTGGGCCAATTAACTACTCTCTGTCTCACAGCCAGACAAAAGTTGGTTGTGCCATACAATAGTTGTCTCTACCAGACAAATTGACTATGCCTCACATATGCTATTTGTACCAAATATGTGTTCTGACTACGTGTTGTGTATTAATTGTAGGTATTCACTTCAAGATGACGAATGACTTAAAATGTAAGTCTGAAAAAGAGTTCGAAGCGGACGCTAATTCATTTACAAAAATGATACCATGTGTGACTTCTTTTGCAATGGAGAAACAAATGCAAGGATGCTGAAGTATATAGTGTTGGGGAAATGTGTCCGTTTTGAACTTGTGATTTTTTGAACATGTATTTTTTTCATATTACAGTTGGGAAAATGTGTTGAATATTGTATGATGTTACATGTTCAATGTTGAACAATTGGATTCATTTTTTTAACATGTGTACGTTTTTGCAAATATTACATTTACAATTATCCACATCTTTTGTTTGTCTGGGTATCTATGGTATTGTCTGTATGTGTAAAGTTATTGTCTTTCTGCGTGAAAGTAATGTCTGTCTGGTTATCTGTGTTGTTTGTCTATTCAACGGTTGTATTTCACCTATCATAGTCTATTTAGACTTATTTAAATTGCTTCTTTACTGGGGAACTCCATACCAACATAGACAATAATATACATGTTTGGTTTTCACCAGATTCATTTGTACATTAACAAATACAATCATATCTTCGAACACTTTTATATAACCACATTAACAATTACTAAACTCATCAAAATGTACTATAAAATACAGTTTTACTAAACTCATCAAAACAACCCACAAAAATACATTCCCACATTAATAACAATTCATATGCTTCCTCCACCTTGTTCCACATGTTTGCATACTCGCAACCTGGAATCAATGACTTTCCCATTAACAGGTGCTCTGCAAAGGAAGCCACCATCACTCCACATTCTCCCGACCTGTAGACAGACAACTCAGAATAAAGGCCAGACATTTTATATCACATTACAGACAATTTGTTGCAATACATATGTAGACAGACAGACTATTTTCACATTACATACAACTCAAATGGAATGCCAGACAACGCTTTTCACATACAGACAACTACAAATCAATTATAAAGAATTCATTTCACATTACAGACAAATCAAATGGAATGCCAGACAACTCTTTTCACTTCACAGACAACTACAAACCAATTTTCAACATCCGAAGAGAGACATCACAAAAGTCATCACACGTACTATAAAATACATTTGTAAAATAAGAAGATGTGCATACATAAAGTTGTTCTATGCACTCAAACAAATAAATTTGTCTGTCCAGACAGACATCTTATGTAAGACTCTACCAATTATGAAACCATGCTCAGCTAGACAGACACTGCACTTCAAATTTGTCTGTCAGACAGACAACCCCTTTTCATGTGGAGTTGGACGAAAAAATACCAAAAAATGAGGAAAAAATAGCAAAATTACGAAATAGTGCCTCACATGACGGATGGGGCTTCCCCTGGCCTCTACCGCTAGAGATCTGAGGCTCCGGGCCGTGCTTTGATTTATGAAGGATTTTGGATCGGCGAGCGTTGAGGAGAGGGGAATGATTGAGGCTCTGGACTCTGCCATAAATGAGCTCGAAACCTTCACTACAAGTGTTTACGCCTTATAATAGGGCTACGTCGAACATGTGTGAACTGGGTTAGTTCGTGGGGGTGAGGACGGCGGTTGGTTGTTTCGTGGGGGTCAAGACGGCGGTTGGTTGTTTCATGGGGTCAGGATGGCGGTTGTGGTGGATGGGTTGGGAACTGTTGAGGTTGGTGCGGGAAGGGAGTTTTTGTAAAGCTGCTGGGGAAGGGAAAAGGTGGGAAGAGTGGGAGATTTGGAAGTGGAGATGAGGGGGAAGGTTGTGAGCAGGTGAGGGAGGGGAGGTGAAGTGAGGGGGGTAAATTTTTTGGAAGGTATTTATATGAGGTATAAAATGAAGTAAGGTTGGGGTACCTATAGCAAAATGGTTGAATCTGAGGGCATGTTTGGATGGAGTGTTTGGAAGTGTTAGTAATGGAAGCGTTAGTAAGTGTTGGTAAGGGTTCAGAAGGGAAGGGAAGTGTAAGTGTTAGACATAATTTTACCTTGTTTGGGAGAGTCAAATGAATGAAGTGTTAATAATGGAAGTGTAATAATTTTATCTTGAGCTAGAAGAAACGAGTAAGAAGAAGAGATGAAAAAGGCAGACCATCAGACTTGCGGCAAAGAGATTCAAAGTGAGATGTCGAAACATTTTATGTTTTTAGGGTAAATGGGAAGGATAATAATTGTCCAACACCTCAAAACACTCCAAATCGGAGTGCTAAAAAAGTGGACAATTGAGGTGTTTGGAAAAGTTATTATTAACACTTCATAACCTTTAATAACACTTCTTAAAGCCTTTTAATTTTTCTCCCAAGTATAAACACTTACTAACACCAGGCTCGGACTCATAACTGAGAACCCTAGTTCAAATTTGTGTCTTGCATATCTCCATCGTCTCTTCCACACCAATGTAAAATTAGAGTTTCAATCTTCTGATAGTTCAGAAAATGGCCGCTAGGATCTCGAAATCCCCTTCCATTCCTCTAGCCATCAGACTCCTCTCCCCCAGTCGCACACTATTATCGTCCCGACCTTTATGCACGGCGACCGAGACCCGGACCCGGAAACTTGAGCGCATCGCCGACGAGCTTCTGGACCTCACCAAGCTCGAAAGGTACGATTACGGCATCCTTTTCCGGCACAAAATGGGCCTCAACCGGTACGGACCCGCAGTGTCTGGCCCGGCCTCATCTGGCTCCGCTGGGCCCGCCGCGGCTGAAACCAAGGCTAATGCAGAGAAGACCGTGTTCGATCTAAAGCTGGAGAAGTTCGACACAGCCGCTAAGATCAAGGTCATTAAGGAGATAAGAGCTTTTACAAGTTTGGGTTTAAAGGAAGCAAAGGAGCTGGTCGAGAAAGCTCCGGTTGTGGTGAAGAATGGGCTCAGTAAAGAAGAAGGTACTGCCATTATCGACAAGCTTAAAGAATTAGGTGCTACTGCGGTGCTGGAATAAAATCAATAAATCACCAATTGTAGTTCTTTTTTCTCTTTATTGTAGAATAACTTTTACTGCGGTTGGAAAAATGGAATTTTTAATGTCTGCTTTGATGAGATTATTGACATCCCATCCCTCAATTGTTGATAATGCTGATATATTTGATTGGTGATTTCACACACCATGAATCGCAATATCATTTAGCTGGTCTAAATTGCTGGACTTATTGGTTGTTTGGTTCGAATAGGAGCTTGATTTTCTTCTGCCTTCCCCTGGTTTTCCTTCCTGAATCCCTCAGTACATGGAAGCTCCTATGAACATACCTTATGGCTCGTTTAGTGCACTGGAAATTCTGCTGCATCCTTTGCTTAAAAAATCTTCCACTTATTCCTCTTGGGTAGGATTTACCCAGAACTAGAATTCCGAAAAGAAGAGGAAGAACTCTTCACACCTTTTAATTATTGTTTTCCCCTGGTTCCCATCGATCAAACCACAGAATTTCAGTTCCTTTATTCCTTGCATATTATTTGCCCACAATTTTTAAGGATGTTTTTATAGGATTGAAATTCTACGGTGGTATGGTAAATGTTTTGTCTATATATTTTACAATCGTCAAAGTTTGGTTTCGGACTTAAAACAGTCCAAGTAAAAACTTGTTGAATCATCTTTCTCTTGTATTCCTTACAAGTTACAACACACCAAACACACCATTACAAATATATATGATAAATCTTTCATTCCATTTTCAGTTCATTTCCAACCATACAAATATAAATGATAAATTAATAAAATAGGATAAAGAACAAATATGTCCCTAAATTAACCTTCTTTTGAAACAATTAAAGCACAAAAAAAGTAAACGTGGAATATCATTACATCCAATTGTTGAATGGTAATTCAAATCCTCGATTTTACATTTCGTTTGACTTTATTATTTTGTGTTTAGCTCTATTATAAAAAAGGATATACGTGCTTTATTTCCCATAATACAGGGTTACATGTGTTCTTTATTCCCAAACAATGTCACCCCTTCACATGCATTCAAAATCCCCCAATCCAACAAGCGGTGAGGCCGTTAGGGAACGAGGGGATGTTCGAGACTTGAGAGTCAATGAGTGCGCATACCTTCCCCTCCAGGGAGTTACTGCATCCTCATCCAAAGTTTATTTGGAGATTCTTTTGATGAGGTAGATGATATTTTGAAAGATTGTTTAGAAAAAACTGATATCAAATATCAAAAAACTGATTATTCAAGATTTTTCCAAATTTTCAATAAACATGTATAATCCATTTATGCCTTTTAATTATGGAAGGGAGTTGATGAGTTTTGAGAATACTTAAGATTTTTTATGAAGTAGCAATTATTAATTAACTATTAAAACCGTTTACTTGAGGAGCGTGGATGGAGAAGCTCTTTCGATCCGTTTTGGATTTTTGGATTCTTGTGAGCTTCCTAATTTTGCCACACTATTCTCATGTAGTCATTGACATTTTGTTAACTTGTTTATACTCATCGCCAAACACTACCTACGGGCTATGGCATATTGAACTTTGTATGTGAGGGTTCATATAGTATGAGACTTTGAGTCATTATAGTAAACCAGTAAGGGTTATTTTGCTAAAATTGCAGAATTTGCTTTTTTAACATGAAGGAATTTGGCAAAGACATTTTTTTTAACATGAGGGCTCACACATGGAATTCACACGTCCCATGTTCAAATCCCTGGAGCAGTATTTTTTTTTTTAAATTTTCACTGGAGAGCAAGGTTTAAAAAAAAAATCAAGAGCAGGTTTCTTTTTTAATTTTCAAATATTATCCTTCAAGTATTTTTCATTTCAACTCAATCTCCATCAATTTGCACAAGCTTAACATCAATCTTAATAGCCTAAACATTAATTAGTTTAGTTCAAATAAACTTTGTAGTATAATTCTAATTCTTACATTCATGTTTACTTCTAATTTGACAATTTCAGTCCATGAAAATCCCTCAAAGAATAGTTGTAAATTTGAGGGTTTTTTTGTATTTGACTTTTACAAAAAATTATTCTTTTAATATTTTTATTTTATTTGACGTTTTTGTTGCAACATATGTTATTTTATATCTGAGAATAAATTTTGTTAAATACATACAACCTCAATCCCAAAATATTTAGTCAAATGTTAAAATTTGGATCATGATTTTGATCAGTATAATATTATGAAAGTTTAAATTTGATACTTTTATAAACGTACTTTTAATAAAGAACATTTTTATATCACTTTTTATATAATAAATAATTTCCAATAAATATATATAATTGACCAAAGTTTTGACATTTTTTTACCATATACCTATTTAATTAAAATTTGGCCCTCCCTCAATGTCAAAATTTGTTCTAGAACTGCAACCCACAAAAACCGAAACAAGATTTGTTCCTTCAATTCCGAGTCCCTGACTAGAGATAGAGCCTTCATTGTACGGAGGAATGGGTGGATTTACATTCCTTTCCTGACAAGGTACATCAAAGGTCAAATGGTTGGCAAAACAATAAAAAGTCAAAGGTAGACCTTGAAGATCATTTAGATTTGTAAACGAGAAAACTGATGTTTCTGCCAAAATAGTCAACATTTTAAGCAGCAATTCACAATCCCCAACATTTACTATCCATAAATATCAGAGTTTAAAAATGGCATTGCATATTTGACTCTCCCTACAAAAGTGTCTTCCACTTTTTGGTATGGACAAAATTTCACAGATTTACAAATAGTGTGGAGTACAAATCTTATTGTAACTATCACACATGGGAAGATCTACATTAGGGCTACGGTGGCATAAAGCTCAGAGTAACTTAAATTTTTCGCTTTTTTAGTATAATTTTTTCATTTTTCATATTTAACCCACTCCATTAATAATTTAGGCATAATATAATTATTCTTCATTCCACTCCAACCCAGATTCTTGGATTCGCCCCTGTATCCACATATGTTCACTGAGATGCCAAATGATCTAGACATGGATAGTGGTCTGAAAGTTCAACGCCTTGGTTGCAGCTTCAGCAAAACACCGCGCAGCTTCTGCCTCAGCCTCTGCTTCCTCTGCTTCCATTGCCGCCCGTTCAGCCTCAGCAATGGCAGCTTCGGCCTCTGCAACTGCTTGTGCAGCTGCAATGGCTGCCTCGTGTGCATTCATATTTCTCATCCTCTCCAGTTCAACGTCAATTTGTGCCTTAGTCAGCATTCTTGTTCCATTACTACTTTCTGGTCTTGGTGCAAGATGTGTCATCTGCTTTCCCTCAAGAAGCAAAGGAGAAGGCTCCATCTTTACATCAACCATTGACATCCCACTAGGTGCGATCCTGTAAAAATGCTTCACCTGGTAAAACAATATCATATACGATGACAATATTACATTTTAAAAATGAAAATAAAATAAGAGATTGATTAAATTATTTCACATGAAGCTCAAGTGTAAATACCTTTACGAGCCTTCTTTTTTCGGTTAAGACCTTTAAATTTGCAGCCAACAGCCTTTCAAGGTTTGGAGGAGCCTGGTAGCTCTCCTAAAAAAATAGATAAACAGTGGGGTAATGGTGAATACAGAGCAACTTGCCAGTTACAAACCCATTTGGTATACCTTTTTTGGCTTATTAGTCATTCGTCAGATTTTGCACCCAAAACTAACTCTCGGCTAACAGTGAAAGAAAAGTACTCCAAGCAAGGTTGTTAAAGTCGAGGTCCTAGATCGGATCGAAAGGGGTCTAGGAGATTGTAACTTGAATCGTAAGATCCTAGAAACAAAGCTACCATGTATGTATGTATGTATGTATGTATGTATGTATGTATGTATGTATGTATGTATGTATGTATGTATGTATGTATATACATATATAGGGGTATATGGGGAGTGTTCACAATATTTTGATGAAATTTTGTGAACATGTTCTCCATAAAGATTAGATCATCTCCACCAAATTTCAGATTAAAATTCAAATGGGAAATTAGTTAAATAAATTATTTTAAAAAACTGCATTTCATATATATATATAAAATTGCACAATTTTCAATAATATATTTATCTGACTTCTCGATTGAATTTTAAACTGAAATTTGGTAGACGTAGGCTACCCTTCATTGATAACATGCTCACAAAATTTCATCAAAAAATTCGATACGGAAGCACCTCAAATGAAAGAGACCTAAGATTATTAGTTTTAGGCCTACCTTAGGAGAACACACACGCACGCGCTTTTGAGCTACCTTAGGAGAATCTTCCGGAACCTGCCGTCTGGCTGCCTCCATTTGAGCTGGTTCTGGGTGAAAGTTTTTGATGAAATTTTGTAAGCATGTTCTTCATGAAGTGTATTATGTCCACCAAATTTTAGCTTTTCAACGATTTATTTAACCGACTTCCCGTTTGAATTTCAAGCTGAAATTTGGTGGACATAATTTACACTTCATGAAGAACATGCTCACAAAATATCATCAAAAACTTTCACCCGGAAGCTAGTCAAATGGAGGCGACTGGACAGCGGTTTTTAGTCAGGCAACCCTACCCTCACCCTCACAGGAACACCGCTCTGTATGTAGATAGATATTTAAACTTGAAACTTTTCAAATAATAATAACAGAACAATGTCATTATTCAAGGATATAAAATAAAGCAGTTACATTTACAAGCTTATGGTAAATTTAAAATGACATCTTCAAATTAAATCATGCCAGTTCAAATAAAACAATTGTTGCAGATCTGAAGAAGCCAACACCCCCCCGGCCTTTTATAGAAAGATTCTGCTTGGGTATATGAAGGTGTCGCTCTGGTCAGTTCTCAGGTATGAAGGTGTGGCTTGGGAGTTGGGTCTTCGTATATCGTTACTCTTTTACACTCGTGTTGTTTTTGATCAGCCTGTATCGTTCCACTCAGTCTGTGTCGTTTCCGAATTCTGACCATGAGCGCCATTTCAGAATTCTGGCCATGCGCGATGTTTCGAATTCCACTTAGTCATGAATGACGCAGATCGATGATTCTGCGATCTTACGAGTTAACTCGTCAAACCGACAATTTCCCTAATATTTCTGATCCAAGCTAGGAACCAGCTTGACCGAACACCTATAACTCGTAAGATCGTACAAGTTAACAAGTTAACTCGCGGACGCAGATCGATGATTCTGCGATCTTACGAGTTAACTCGTCAAACCGACGATTTCCCTACTATTTCTGATCCAAACTAGGAACCAGCTTGACCGAACACCTACAACTATTAAGATCGTACAAGTTAACAAGTTAACTCGCGATCTTGATAACCTTGACTCCAAGAATTAACTTTTCTGGACGTGGTTAAAGCAAAGACATTTTCACCTTCAGTTTTAGACATTATTATCTTTACTTCGTTTAATAAAACGGGGCAACCCGGTGCACATCGGTGTATGCAAGACTATGGTCCATGGTCCACGTAAAGGTCCCACCACAAGGATGCTTATTTAGAATTGAATTCAACTTTGAATTCCTCCTCTCTTTTTTGCAAGATGGAAGGTTGCCACAGGAAGGGAACTCAGCATAAAACATCATCTTTTGCGCAAAATATGTTGTTAACTAATTTTAGCTCTACAGGATAATGATTAATTATTACAAATCTAATGCCACGGCCCGTATCTAGTTTGGATCAAGTCATTAAGGTCATGATGAATTCAAATATGTATATTATGCCAATTCAGTCACAACTTCAGAAAATGTAGCAAATTCAGCACTTCGGACCTTTTTAGCCTTACCAAACAGACTCTAAGTGTTGCATCTGCAAGGAAATAACAGAGTAGACCAGAAAAGAGAACTTGTTTGACAAAACTAAATTAAGAAAAGTTTTACTTCCCGCATACATAGCACACAAATGCCAGTAATTTGAAACAAAAATCACAAAAAAATAACACATGCAAGACGGTTGTTATACAACCGACCACAATCTAATGCTCTTCAAAACACACAAAATAGACAAAGATCCATGTATGTAGACACAGAAAATAGCATAAATGTAATGGATTATAATAAGCATTCCTCTAGTTAACTGGTTAGCTTAAAGGAAGTACCTCAATGAACATGCAAATTGCGTTTCTACTAGATCCTCGAGGTTCCTTCAGCTTGGCTATAGCCTCCATTATCAGATTGTCCAAGCTGCATTTGAAAAAGCAATCAATGTAAACAGAGAGTTTATTAACAAATGAAAAGCTCACGGCAGACCATTATATAGAATGGCAAATAAGAGCTTCGTTAGAACACCAAATAACACATATAATAGAGTAAAGAGGAGAGAAGACAAATAACCTAGTGATTGGTTTCTTAGAGCAGATTTCTGTTTGTGATCCATTAACTGTTGCAAGGGGCTTAGCATCAAGAATGTCCACATCATTCTCAACCACAGTGGTAAGAGCCATAGGCTCATCATCATCGTCATCATTCTTGGATTGAGTGATTTTACCAACAATCTTACCCCGCTGCCTAGACCCCCAACCATTTGTCATGACATGAAGGTTTCTCCATTTATCCTGTCCACTTCTCCAAGTTTAGCTTAGAGTCATCATATTCTCCATCAAACAAAAAAAAACAGAAAGTATAACTTCTTCTCAGATGAAGCATAGATATGCTAGGAGGTTGGTTAATTACCTTGAGGTCCACATTAGACCGAGAACGCAATATCAGAGCAAAGTCTGGGTCTTTGAGTATGGTGCTCCATTTTCCCATCCCATACTTGGCCACACCAGCTTTAAGTGCAGCTTCTTCTCCTGATGTCCACTTCAGCTTTGGTGCACCCATTGCTATGATGTTAGTGGTTCTATTCCAGAAGTTTAAAAAAAATTCAGCTCTCCCACACGTGTGCCTGCAAAAGCCAAAAGTCTGACAACATAATCAACACTGTTGAAAATCGCCATCCCCTTTGGGTCTAAGACTCTAAAGTCATCACCATGCAAGGGCTAATCCAAGCCTTAATTTTGTGAGTACAAGATTAAGCCTTGTATGTTTTGAAGGTTGGCGTGAGGGAGGGGAGGGGAAGTAAAGGAAATCTTTCTTTGAGTTCCAAATTTGAAAAGAGAGAGGTTATGGGGAAGTTGTGTCGAATTCAAATAATTGAACGCATTCTAATTTGAGCTAAAATTATAATTTAATTAGTTATCCTTCAAAAAAACCCAGACTTAACAATTGAGCAGTGGAGAATTACAAGAACCCTCCAAACCAGCGCCATTAACTCTCCTCATCCTTCCCCTCTCCCCTCCAAAACCTCACTCCCAAACATATCCCAGTCCAATCATGGAGTAATTTGATTCATTTACTATCAAGTTGACTTCCAGCTTAAAATGTAACTAGCAAATTATATATGGCACGAACTAGAAATTCAACTTCCCATTAAAGGTTTGGAGGTGAACTTATGACCAGAACTCATCCATCACCACTCTAATTAAACTTGTTCTATGTGTGATAACCCCAACCTGCCCAATCTATTACAGCACATATGGTTAACCTACTATGCCTATGTGTTCTATCAGGATCGGACTAGCCAAACCTGGGAGCAATCGCGCGGCAGACACGAATGGCACTCCACGTGGAGTACGATTGACCGGAAACGACGACGGAGTAAGGTGGGAAAATTTGTTTTTTTTCTGGGAAAGAGATCTCTGCACAAGGTCGACTCCTGAGGCGATACGCTATTTTCGGAATTACTAGTATTTCACGATGTAATACACAATTATTATAAATATTGATATATAAACTCAGTTTTAAATCAAATTATTTTTATAAATGAATAATAATATTAGAATCTAAATAAGCACAAAAATTACAAATTATTTAGGAAGCAATTCAAAGCACCGAGCACCGAGTCATTCTCTTATATGGGAGCTCCCAGATTCTAAATTTCATGGAAGCAATTACAACCCCAAACTCTCCCAGACTCCCTTCCCCGTGACCCCGAGGTAAAATAAAAAGGCTAAAAGGTCAAATAAGTACATGAATTAACTTAAAGTGTTCAATTAGTTTCTTATATAGGAGGTTCTGTCTGGTCATCGTGAATTGGGGAAGTTCTTGGTGGAATTTTTTGATGAAATTATATGAGCATCTTCTTCATTAAATCTAGTTTACTCATACCAAATTTCAGCTAAAAATTCAACCGGGAAGACAGTCAAATGATTTTTTGAAGATAACTTTGCAGTTAAACAGCGCAGTACATTTCGGAAAATCATTTGACAGCCTTCCCGATTTAATTTTTAGCTGAAATTTGATATGGGTAAACTAGACTTAAAGAAGAATATGCTTAAAAAAATTCATCAAAAACTTTTACCGGGAACCGCCTCAATTGGCGACGGTCGGGCAGAACCTCCTATATAAGGGACTAATTGAACACTTTAAGTTAGTTCATGTACCTATTTGACCCTTTAGCCAAAAAAATGAAGACACGATTTTGTGGTTTTTGATACGCTCTTCCTCATTGCATATCATGAAATTCAAGTCAAGCGGACTTGTAATCCTCGAAATTGCAACATAAAATTATTCAATGTAAGGTCAAAATGTAGCAAGAATAAGTCAATAAACACTCATGAAGTTTAGAAAAAAGTCCATTCTTTTTTATCCAATTCATTTCTAACCGAAAATACTTTTTCACATTCTTGCAATAACATTTCTTATAAATCTTCTCATATGTACCATTTCTTATGAAAGCTTCTCACACCGGCTATAATAGCTATTTTTGTATATATTCTATATAAAAATAATAAATATCAATATGCAAGAATTGCAAGCAGGAAAAGTAATTTCCTCGAATATTTCAAATAAACATGAAAATAAAAGGTGACACATACAATGTTTCTTTTCACCTATAAAGTGTAAAAAGAAACACCTGATATTCCATGATAGGCTTACACTGCATTCTTGAAGCATAAAGTACTAACATAAGTCCTCCACCACTCAAGCATCTACTTCTATTCCTCCATCTGGTTAGGGATGGACCGATTCCGGGCCAACCGGACAGGCCCCGACCCAGATCGGTACCGTTTGTACCCGGCCCGGCTCGACCCGGCAACCGGTCATAGGACCGGTCCGGGTGGACCGAATCAGGATTTACACTAGGCAGGCTCGGGCCTGCTAAAAGTGGAACCGCCCCGGCCCGGTCGGGCTCGGTCCGGGCCTCCAACGACTCTTTTTTTTTATAATAAAATAGTCTCCTAGCCTCTGGGACTGTTCCCAAACGGCTCTATAGCCGTCAGAGGCAAAGGAGGGGGGGGTGGGGGGGGATACTAAAAAAATCCTATTTATACTCCTATTTTCTATACATTTTTTACACCTCTTCTCCAACTCTTCCTACTCTCTAATTCTTTATTCTCTCATACTCTTAAATCTTAATCATCTCCATCTTCATCTTCTCAAATTCTCTCTACATACATACATACATACATACATACATACATACATACATACATACATATATACATATATATATATATATATTATAATTATTATATCTACTTATATATTTATTATCTACTTATAAATACATATATTGTATTACTAATATTTATTATCTACTTAATATATACTTATTATCTACTTAATATTTACTTGATATCTACTTATTATCCAGGGAAAAGTACCTAAAAGGTACTTATGGTTAAAAACGTTTGAAAACACCGTTAAAAGTAATTGCGATTTTCAAAAGTGCCCAAAAAATTAAAAGAAAAATACCGGAAGGTGTGCCTCAATAAGACGGCCGCTAGGCCATCTTTCTTTTTTTGTTTTCAGCCGCCCTTGTCACCGGAAAGTTCATCGGAAAAGTGATATTAGCAAAATCATTTTAAAAAAAACAATTCAAACAGATCTGAAAAATTCAAAGGCGAAGGTGGCTTGGAGGTCATCTTGACGAGGCGAACCTTTCGATATTTTTCTTTTAATTTTTTGGGCACTTTTGAAAATCGGAGTTACTTTTAACGGTCTTTTTCAGACGTTTTTAACGGCGTGACACTCTTGTGATAACGGAATTCAAACACATGAACTACTTTGATAAAGAATGAAACACATGACCCTATCTGAAAACGGGGTTGATGGAGTATATGGGCCTGGACCCCATGGCCCACATACTCGGAAGAACAGAAGGTGCCACGATCACCTGGTGGGACCCTCGTCGGCCAGGTGACCTCCATCGGCCAGAAAGAAGTCTACTCAGAATACGGTCCAAGAGCCAGGAGAACCGGGTGACCTCGTCGGCCGGGTCTTCGTCGGCCATGCCCTCATCGGCCGCGCCCTCATCGGCCACGAGCGGCCCCCAGAATAAGATCTTGTACTTAATCATTCTTACATGTCTTGTACCCGGCCCAATAGTGGCCCTATTGTAAATGGGCCTCCCAAGCCCAAGACTTGGGAGCCCAGCCCTAATATTTCCTATAAATACTACCTCTAGGAGTAGTTGTAGGGGTTCACAAAATCATTTATTGAAGCATTTACTTGCACTTCTCTCTCTAGCTCTCACTTCTCTCTAGATATATACTCTATCATTTGGTGCTTTCATTGAGAGCTAGAACAATCAAGTTAGCATCCTTCGTCACTACCAAGCACAGCTAACCACTGATCATGGGAAGAACTAAGTCAAACCGCAACCTCGTCAGCAAGGTCATCCCTGAGGATCAGGAGAACAGGGAGCGTGAGAAGGCGCCACGGCCGGCCAGGTCGGAGGAGGGGACGTCTTCCAGGAGGCCATCAACCTCACGACGGACCTGCACAACCAGCTCAACGGCGGTGCCCCTGATGCCCGCATCGGCCTGGATAAGAAGCGTGCAGAGAAGACAGACAACGCCCCGGCCCAACCTTTGGCCACGGCTTCTCCGTCTGTTGACCCACAGGTTCAGGCCGCACTATCGGTCATCATCGCCAGCTTGGCTCAGAACCCCACCGTCCTCGGCGCACTCATGCCAAGGACTGGGGGGAACATCACTCCACCTCCTCAGCCCCAACCGTTGGCCACCAAGCTGGGCAACGATGAGGGGGTGATAGCCCAGGACAAGCTCCTCGGCCGATGGAGGAAGTCCTTGCCATCCAGCAAGGCGGCACCTACTGCCAGTTCCACAAGAACGCCTCACACAACACCGAAGACTACATCACGCTGAAGAAAGCCATCGAGCGCCTGATTCATCAGGGGGAACTCTCCCAATTTGTTAAAGGCCGCCCGCGCAAAAATACGTGGGTAAACACCGACAAATCTGGGGGCGAACCCTCTACGAAGAAGCGGGAGATCGGTAGGCTCAGCGACGATGAAGACTTTGAGGAGCCTCCACCGAAGAAGAACCACATTCACCTCATCGTAGGTGGGAACACCGGGGGAGACTCCGTCACCCAGAGGAAGAAATGGGCCCAATCCCTTTACATTGGGGAGGTGTCCCATGTTCCCCCCAGCCGAAGAAGCAACGAACGGAGGCGATCACCTTCACCGACAAGGATCTGCCTCCAGGTACGGAGTCACACAGGGACACCCTTGTCATCCGGTGTGAGATCGGTAATTCCATCATCCACCGCACTTACATCGATACGGGGAGCTCCGTCAACGTGATGTACCTAGATACCTTCAAGCAGCTGAAGCTGGACAAAGCTCTGCTGAAGCCGATCAAGACACCGTTGTCCGGTTTCACCGGGGACTTTATCGACGCCGAAGGCACGATAGTCCTCCCCGTGGAGGTCGGCGACGGCTACCACTGCGCCAAAATTGACATGGAATTCATGGTGGTCAACCTTCAGTGCGCCCACAACCTGATTTGGGGGCGGCCAGCACTGGAGGACCTGGAGGCCATCATCTCCATGAAGCACTTATGCTTGAAGTTCCCCACCAGTGGCGGCATCGGCTACGCCAGAGGAAACCAGAGGATAGCCAGGGCATGCTACCTCAATCTAACGAGGCCGGTCGAAAAAGGGAAGGACAAAGAATAGACACCATCACGGCGACCGTTTCCAAGGACGAGGAGAGACCGCATGCTGAACCAGCCGAAGAGGTCGAGGTGGTCCCCCTGGATATCTCTCGGCCAGAGCGGGTCCTCAAAATCGGGAAGCAACTCCCGCAGGACCAGCGAGTCGCCATCCTCCTCGTCCTACGGTCATACGCCATCATCTTCGCGTGGGGCCCAGACGACATGCCAGGCATCATCCGGAAGGTGATCACCCACCGGCTGACCGTCGACCCAACCTCCGCACCTGTTAAGCAGAAGCGACGCTACTTGTCCGCCGACAGGCGGGACTTCGTCAAGGGGGAGGTCACCACGCTCCTCTCAACCAACCACATCAAGGAGGTGAAGTACCCGACGTGGCTAGCCAACGTCTTCCTCACCCAAAAACCGTCGATGTTCAGAATGTGTGTTGATTACACTCACCTGAACAAGGCGTGCCCCATGGACCCGTTCCCTCTCCCCAACATTGATCAATTGGTGGACGAGACGGCGGGATGCGAGTTGATGTCGTTCCTTGACGCCTTCAGAGGGTACCACCATATTTTCATGCATGAAGATGACGCTGAGAAGACGGCCTTCATGTCCCCGGAGGGAATTTTTTGCTACCTCGTCATGGCTTTCGGACTCAAAAACTCAGGCGCCACCTACACCAGAATGGTGGCTAAGATCTTCACGACGGTCCTCGGCCGGAAGATGGGTCATACGCCGATGACATGATCGTCAAAAGCAAACGGGCCACCACGCATGCTGACGACCTCCGGGAAATTTTTGAGATCATGAAGGAGTTCAAACTCCGCCTCAACCCCAAGAAGTGCACCTTTGGCGTCCGAGGCGGCAAGTTCCTCGGCTATATGGTCAGCCGGAGAGGCATTGAAATAAATCCGTAGAAGATACATGCCATCATCAATATGGAGCCGCCCCGCAACGTCAAGGAGGTACAGCGGCTAACGGGGCGTTTTGCGGCCCTGAGCCGTTTTCTCTCCAAGTC